GAATCTCTTGTATTTAGAGTATATAACATCTTATGGGAGATGTATAAGTTCGGGTGCCTACACAGCGTGTGTTGGTTTGTCATCATTAAGCTTTAGAGACTAGTGTAGTTCTGTGCTTGTTATCATAGGGATTAGTTTTAAAGAAAAACTAATGCAAAGGGTTTGAAAATTTTGAGTTTTAACGATAAAGACAAAATAAAGGGTAAAGTGAATAGTATCATGATTGATTTTTTATTGTAAAAATATAGTTTTTCATTAGAGTGAATAATACTAAGAGATTTTCGTTAAAGTTCTCTAGTTTTAATAGAATTGCGTCACTTGCCTTGATTAAATGGCTCGCTAGACGGTCTTAACAAGACCTCTCCCCCCCCCCCCCCCCCCCTCCCGAAAAGTAGAGGACCACAAAGACCATCGTTAGTAGTCTCGTCTGCTTCGCTTCACCAAAACTTGGTAGCGTGGATCGATTGGCTGTGCTCTTCTTCGAGCGAATATAAATGTATGATTGAAGTTTCGAACAATGTCAATGTTTTATGTGCTAATGCGAATATAAAGGCAAGTCCACATATTGAGTCAAAGTTGAAGAAATGAGAAGAAGAAAAAAAAACATATAGTTTAGTTCTTGACATGATGAACACAAGTGAGTTTGTATCGAGTGATTTCAAAAACTGCATTGAAGTTGGCAGTGATGAAACATGACAAGCTTATGTGCAAGTTCAAATCCTATTTTATTTACTAATTAGTTGTATTATTCTCAATATTGACACATGCTAAATTTTTGTATTGCTTTGTTGATTTAATCTTAGGAATATAAAGATGCGGAGGGATGGAGAAGCAAACATTTTCCACTTTATGATAGATTTGCATATATTTGAAAAGGATTGTGTTACGAGTAATGTAGCTGAAATCCATGCTGAAATGATGGAGGAGCAAAGCCATAATAAGGTTAATGCAAATGCTGTTGGAGTTGAAAATGATGTTTCTCCAACGAACCAGCAAAGTCAATAAAGCAACCAATCTACAAGTAGTCAAAGAAAGAGGAAAAGATTTTATGTTGAAAGTGGGAAAATGATGCAAATGGTAACAAAAGTTATAGTTCGAGGTACTGCAGATCATAATGTATCTAAAGAACTTAAAGCAATGAGTCTTTCTCCTATGGATTAAATTAAAGGATTGAGTCGTATTTTGGAAAGCCACAAAATGTGGGGGTTTCAAGCCATTAGATGCCGAATTCAAAAATGCGTTCATCCAAAAGCTTCAAAGCAATAAAGCAAGCAATGATTATATTATAGGGGTGTGCCTTTTTACTTCTCACACATCCCTTATTAATTTATGTCCGTTGATCTTCTTCAATTCATCCGATCCAACGGCCGAAAACTAAAAAGGTGTGGGAGAAGTAAAAAGGGGTATGTGGATATCACATCCCATATTATATGGTGTCTTTTGATATAGATTGCATTTTGTTAATTGTACAACACTAGGTCGATGCTTCCAACTTAGTCTTGCAATGCGAAATACTTTGGCTAATGTTAACTTATTTTTGTGAATTATGAGGATTTACTTTTGAATGATAATAATAATATTGTAGCTATCTATTATGTTATCTGTTTACTCTTGAATTATGATATTTCTTTTGTTGGAAGAAATTAGGATTCTATTTTAATTTCTTTTTATTATTGATAATATCTTTAATAGATCTTAATAGAAAAGAAATTAAAATAGAACAATGATTTAGTCGATGTTTGAGCAAACATCAAATTGAGGACAATACTATTTTCATTGTCTTGTTTTTTAGTCTAACACTGCACAAACACCTCACTAAGTCAGTCCATCTTAATCTATTTTAAACCAGTTAAACTTTGCTCATAAAACTAGTCAAATTTGAGATAATTCAGTGTAACAAATGCACGTACAAGACTTACACGTGCGATTGGATGACTCGTGGTTCTGCTGCTAGTTACATCTAATAATTTCTGAGTCTTTTTAAGGTTGGACTGCATCTGAATTTCATTGCATAATAAAACATATTACAGTTGCAATATCAAAGCGGAAAGATGAACAAGTTTGGGCCTCCAACGGTGGTCGCGTCTAATTTATATATTGCAGGATTGGACTTTCCATGCTGTAAATAAAATCAACATTACATTTTTTGAAGGAAACAAAAATCTAACCCTCTTTTGGTCTCCATCGGTCCATCCAATTTTGTAAAATAATTAAGGATTTTGACCTTTCATGCTCCACCCTACAAAACCAAATAAAAAAAAGAAAGAAAGAAGAGAAATTGACTTTTGTGGCATTGCATCTTCTTGTCAAAGCCGCATGTCAAGTTGCCATACTATTTGCCCACTTTATCAAAGTTTATGCCACTAGCACCTTCAAGAAAACTTTCTCCATCTATATAGGTCAAATATTGAGAATATTTGCTCCATCTTTATGTACTAGTTTACGTAGTGAGAGTGAATTTGCTCTTAAGATTGAGAATATATTCTCATGTGTTTGTGACACTTGATTTCTTCATATGTTAACTTATCTATAGGGAGAGAATCAACTCTTCAATTGAGAGTATATCCCCTTGTGTTTAGTATTGAGATAAAACCAGCTCTTTGATCGTGCGTGTATCCCCTTGTCCTTGTTTTTACATCACATGATTTCTTCATATCTTAGTTTGCATGTTGTGTTAACTTACGTATTGAGAGAGAATCTGCTCTTCAATCAGAGTATATCCTCTTGTATTTACTCTTTGGTTTCTTCATATTTAATCCTACATATGAAAAAAAAAAAATATGCTATTCAATCAAGAGTACATACCTATCCGCACACGCGCACGACATCTACTGGTCATCTATTTGTCCCCCACTTTAGGTAGTAGTTTTTGGGAAATTAGTGGCTTGCAAATTGTTGGTGGTGGTTGAAACTTAAACTCTCAATTCCCTTTCGCCAAATGCTGCCTGCCCTTATTGTTTATATATTTCTGGCTCTTTTCCCTGCACCTTACAATTTTGGTCAAATGTTACTGCAAAGGTGCAATTTCATGTCGTGTTTTGTAATCTTTAAAGAAAGAACCACAAAACACTTGAAGATATGGTTCATGTAGCGAAAGTGGCTTTCCTTGTCATCTAGCAAAAATACTTATTATGTTTTAATTCAAAAGCATTTGTATATATAGCACGGATACATTGTTTCTATAACTTTTCGTGACATGAAATTGTTAAACTCTTTACAATACTGTACATACATCTCTCTCTAGTTCCAAACGAAGAAAGTTGAGTTTCCACCATAAAATCAATTGACAATATAGGGAGTAACCCATTTTCTTATAAGAACATGCAAAGTCCTTACTTTCTCCGATGTGGTATTGATACCCTCACCACACCCCCTTATAAGGAATCTTCAAGCCTAGCACGTAGACAACACAAATTGGGTGACTTGGAGCACGTGTGGGCGTTAGAATTCACAGGAGGGATAACTTGCTCTGATACTATGAAAAAAATTGAAAGTCCATAAAATCAATTGACAATATAAAAAGTAGCTCAATTACTAAAAAAGTATATGTAAGGTCCCTACTTTTTCCGATAGATTGATACACTCGACTTATTGGCTTATATGTTTTCCCAACTAGTTTCCTTTCCAAAATATGATTACTGTTAGGTATAGTTATCCGCATGTATTATACATATCAAATTTCTATGTATAAAGATAATCCGTACCCAAAAAATGAAATGTATTTTACTCATTTAAATCTGAATCCCTTCTACAACTTTGTGATACATAATTGTTTGAAAAAATAGCAGTATCGTGTGTATAGAAAGAGATCAAGCAAACTTTGTTGGGTGCATACCTGTGTCATTATTTAATAATTAAGCTTAGAAATGTATTAAGGGTGATCAATAGAGATCATTAGAAGCATGTCACAAACAAAAAGAGAAATTTTATCTGCTCAACAATTCTCTTTCTACACTCAACAAAAATAAAATTGTTTCGAAAATAAAATAAAATAAAGTAAATAAATAATTATCCAGCAATAGGTAACTCTAGCCACCCCATCTCTCTAAAACCCCAATCACTCCAATTTCTACCCTCCCTAACCCCTACCGTCACCTCCCCTACCATCCACAATTTGAAAATTAGGAGTACCTTATCCCTCTCCAAGGTTCTAAAAGACGCTAGGTGCTAGTCGGGCGGCAAGTTGGGGCTAGTGCCTAGGCGGCTAGACAAGGCCTAGGCGGATTTAAGCAAATATATTATATTACGTGTAAATAAGTGTTAGTTTATACATAATATATATATATATATATAATTTCATCATAAACTACAAAATAGAATGACATATATATTATGAAGTATTGGAACATAATGAAAACATAGGGAACAAGCATATAATGTGTGTTCATTTTAGGGTTCAACAAGATCTTACAATTGATTGAAAAAAATAAAATGCAAAATAAAAGTTATCTATTTCCTATCTAAGTGAGTCGTAGCCCAGGTGGGTGCTTAGGCAGGTCTAGCAGGCTAGACAGGTACCTAGGCGGTCTAGGCGGGTGCCTCAGCATGTCTAGGCGGGTACCTCAACAGGTCTAGGTGCCATTTCTTAATTTTCAAATGCCTAAGCATTAATCGAGGCGGCTGGCCACCGCTTAGCGCCTAGGCGGCGCTAGGCGGATATTTTTAGAACAGTGTACCTCTAACAACCCACCATTAAAAATCCCAAAAGAAATTCATGAAAATATTTTATTTTATTTTTGGAAAAATTCATGATAATATTAAAATTGTGATTCTACACATTTATTGTACACTAAATGCTAACACAGTTAGATTAGACTGGTCGATAGTTTTCGGCTAAGTTCAGACATGTTAAAAGGATTGCATGAGAGAGAGAGTTGTTGTGCCGCAGGGGAAAGGTAGAGACATAGATAGTGATGGCTGAGATCTTGGAGTTTTCATTGTGGGTGGTAGGGGAGGTGGCAGTGGTGGAGCCAAAAATTTACAACGTTGGGGTCAGAAATTTACCCTCGGTCAGTGACATCATCATCGAAGTACTGGACACCGACATCTGGCCTAAGAGCAAGAGCTTCAATGACACTGGATTTGGACTCATGCCCATGTATTTGCTTCCCCCAATAACTAGATTCGCACCCACCCAAATTAGCACAGGAAGAAAGCACACTAACATAAGTAGCTTCATTTGACTTCATAAAACAACCCATCACATTCTCATGATTCATCATCATCTGAAAAAACTGAATTCCCTTGCTAAAACACCAATTTCTCCCAAACCCGTTTATAACGCTTGTCCATGAAACCACGTCCCTTTTTGGCATGCTTTCAAATAGCAAAACAGCAGAACCCATATCCCTATTCTTCACAAACTCATCAATCATCGCATTCCACGCAACCACACATGGTTCAAATTCCTCAAACACCTTACGCGTCTTGCACAACTTAGTAAGCTCAGCATAGAAGCTCACAAACGAGGTCTGTATAAAAGGGTCGCACAAAGTGTATGAGACCCATCGATGAGTCCAAAGAATCCAAATCCCCGCGTTACAACGACGGAGTGCCGGTCGATTCGACGCCCTAGACCTGGGCAGGCCGAAAACGCTAGGTCTAACGATTTGGAGGCTGCCAGGTGGTAGATTCACGGTGGTGGGAAGATTTAGCAGGGGGAGAAGAGATGCTGATGGAGTGATCGCTAACAAATGGAGCAATATCTCCTTTTTCTTCTTCTTGTTTGGGGCTGTCGGCACAAGGTTATTGGGGTCAAGGAATCCCATTGCCCCCACCTTGGCTTCGCTACTGGGTTAGGAAGTGTAGAAATTGGGGTGGTTAGGGTTTTGGAGAGATAGGGTGGCTGGAGTTTCTTACTGCGAAATTTTATTTTTGGTTTTAGTTGGGTGTAAAAAGAGAATAAATGGATTTGAATAAAATTTCCCTATCAAAATAAGTACGTAAAAAAAGCCTCTCACACTGCTTGCATGTGTCTAAACTACTTCACATTTGATCAATATGTTGTTTATTATAAAATAATGTAAAAAAGTCAATTACCACACACGTGAAAATGCATAGCTATTATCTCTATTAATTAATGACGCTCTCTTTGTGAACCAAAAAGAGGGTGAAAAAACTACTTAGTCTTCTATTACACAAAAAAATGATGGGCAATAATGTAATTTCACAGGTCCAAATTTTACTGTTTTTTATTGAAGCCTCACCTAGATGTGATGTTAAAATACCTCCAATATTAAAATAAAAAAAAATAAAAAACCTCCCACTCCCTCCATGTTCTCTCTTTCTCTCCCTTTCTCTCCTTCTCATTTTCTAAAAAAAATTTGTTCATATACATAAAGTGTGTAGGCAAATACTAGTATATATAAAAGAAACATTAGAAGATGATGGATATGTTCTTAGGGAAATGAAACAAACACATTATTCTTTTTCTTTTGCACGCTTTTCCTATTCTCTCCCGACCCTCCTTTGTTTAAAAAAAAAAAAATCCAAAAATAAGGAGAGGTGTGTGGAGAAAGAAATAAAGGTGTAAAATTAAACAAAGATTAAACCCTAAGTAATCGGGGTCATGGTCAAATTTTAATAATTTCACGTACGTACGAATTGGAGGAAGCATTAGAACTAAACAAAGATTAAGGATTCCATTTGTAACTGAAAATGAAGATCAAGGGTTATCAAGGGTTCCACTTGCATATGCACATTGCATTTCTGACAGTTGACACATGGCGTTGGGTGCATTTCGCACTTCGTAAAGATTCCTAGACAAAATAATATCCCCATTAGCCTTCAATTGTGGGGATGGGAATTGGGAAACAAAAGATTCCTTAATTATATTTTAACTGTCTTGTGTATACATGAAATTAGGAAATTAATATTTTTGTGGCTCTCATTCTGTAACTTCTTTTAAGGATCTGAATTATTTATATTTTAATTCATCATTCATAGATCATTTTTGCAAATAATTAGATAATTCAAAACTATTAAGATATTTAATTGCAATGAAGGAAAGTAATGAATACGGCTACACAAAGAAATACTAAACTTAACCTAATGATTGTATGACTTTGGATCTGAGTTATTTTTTTAGAGAAAATATCTGAGAAAGGACATAAAAGATGAGCGGTTGAATTATTAAAATACATTACAGGATGATCCTCACATAATATGTATCAAAATGTGTGTTAAAAGTTTGTGTCTCCGGATCTTATCTCGTATATAAGTTTTAAGTGTTCAGAGTTGACTTGAATGATATTTGAAGGTGGGGTGGGTAGTGATAGGTTATGCTATACGTCCTCTCACATGTTACAAGTCACAACACATCAATAATGGTTATTGTTTTTCCATGTTCAATAATGGTTATCTTTAGGACTGAAGTAGAAATTCATCTTATCGACATCTCACATTTTTTAGGAAAATGATCTCCACACTTTTTTTTTTCTCTTCAACGTATTTTTATTTTAAAATGTCCAATTCTTTAATTCTTCTTTGATTTTGCGTTTATAATAACCTTATTAATTCCTTATTATTTTCTTGTTTAATTTTATACGAGTGTTAATATGATTGACACAATAGAGTGGACACAGACTTAATCACCACAAAGAAGACTATTATTGACGTAATAGAGTAGAAAAATAAAAAGAGGGAGCAGAGGGGAGGAGGAAAAGCAGAAGTGCTTCTCTGTTCTCCTCTTCCTACGACAACTTTTCTCTGGAGGCTAGTTAAAAAATATAATGAATTACCAAAAAAAAAAATTGTTAGGAAAGGCTCGAATTTTTTTTCTAGATTTCATATTTGATAATTGATATATTTTTTAGCAATCCGACATTTTACTACTTGAGGAATACAATTTGAACTCCATTGCAAATACTAACCTAGCACTGCAATAATTGATCACTCAAGAAAAAGATCTAGACCGTAGTAACTTACCTGAATTGCTGTGAGCTTAATCTTTTTTTGAGGTAGCTAAGAGCTTAGTTTTATATAAGGACAAGATTGAATGAAAATGATCTTTGAAATTTTGGATGGGGACACCTTGAAGTTATGAGTGGTCCAAGAATGATGAGTGATGACCCCCTAAATATGTGATTAAGCTAATACTAGTATTTAAATGGAAAGAAAAGGAAGTTAGATGGTTCATGGTTGGGAACTTGGGAGGACATTAGTCATTAGCCATTAGAGGGGCTTTAAGGGCGTGGTCTCTCCTTCCCATAAATCTATACACCAATTATTTCCTGCATGCTGTGACTACCTTTAGTTTTTCAACATTCATAGTAATTGCAAAACTAGCTAGATCATTACTTAATATCATTTTTCTTAGGTAATATATTTAAGGAATTGTTATTAGGCACTCCAAAAATCTCATTCTACACTCCAAACTTTCCATATTGGGAAAGAAAAATACACTTGTGAGGAGTGTATAATAAGATTTTTTGAGTGCCAATAACACTTCCCTATGTTTAATGGATACATAAGATGGTTAGAGCCGTGTGCTCCGTTCTTTGCATTCAACTTCAAATTCCCTTGTTCTTACTTTAGATGAAGGGTAGTGCTAGGGAGACTAAATTTGTGGACGAAATTTGCAACTAAATAATGTATTACCAATAGGAATGAACATGTTTATCAACACTTAAGTAATAATTCATTCATAAACTTTTATGTCATTTAATTTACAAAATTTTATCTACAAATTTAGTTTCCTAACGTTACTCTTACATGAATTATCTACCCATCGTTAGTGTAATTTGTAAACACGAAAAATTCCTGAAAACAAGAAACAAGAATACGTGTACAAAATAATATTTTTTCGTTTAATGATTTTGGGGTTACGATCTCTCAAATTTGGTCATCTGATTCGATCTCCGTAAGATGTAGATTTGTTGATCCAAGGGCCGTCGAGGCTTGATCTTGGATAAACAGTTGTAAGTTTCTTCAAGGGCCTTCGTGGCTTTGATCTTGAAGGTTGATGGAAGTTTCTTCAAGGGTCTTCGGGGCTTGATCTTGAAGGTTGATGGATGAACGGATCTTCAAGGGCTTTTGGGCTTGATCTTGAAGAACGGTTGGTTTTCTTCAAGGGCCGTCGAGGCTTGATCTTGAATGAACAGTTGGTTTTCTTAAAGGGCTTTTGGGCTTGATCTTGAAGAATAGATATGTGGATTTGTTTGTTGATCCAAGGGCCGTTGGGGCTTGATCTTGGATGAACAGTTGATGAATGGATCTTCAAGGGGCGTTGGGCTTGATCTTGAAGAATGGGTGTATGGGTTTGTTGATCCAAAGGGCCGTTGGGGCTTGATCTTAAGATGAACGGATGATGAATGATGAACACTTTCTTCAAGGGGCCGTCGGGGCTTGATCTTGAGTTGGTGGGAGTTCTTCAAGGGCCGTTGGGGCTTGATCTTGAAGGAGGATTTGACGAAGAACGAAGAGTGCTTTCTTGATCCTTCGGGATTTTCTTGAGAGCTTTAGAACTTTAAGGCTTCAAGGTTTTGGTGTGTGGGTTTGTTGAGGTTGTTGATCCAAAGGGCCGTTGGGACTTAATCTTAGGATGAACGGATGATGAATGATGAACACTTTCTTCAAGGGCCGTCGAGGCTTGATCTTGAATAATGGTTGTGTGGATTTCTTCAAGGGCTTTTGGGCTTGATCTTGAAGGTTGATGGATGAGCGGATCTTCAAGGGCTTTTGGGCTTAATCTTGAAGAACGATTGGATGTGTGGATTTGTTTGTGCTATTGATCCAAAGGGTCGTTGGGGCTTGATCTTAGGATGAACGATGAACACTTTCTTCAAGGGCCGTCGGGGCTTAATCTTGAAGGAGGATTTGACGAAGAATGAAGAGTGCTTTCTCCATTCTTCGGGATTCTTGGGAATTTGGGGGTTGGATGCTTGAGAGCTTTAGAGTTTCAAAGCTTCAAGGATTTTGGATGTGTGGAGAGTATTCTCTTCCATTTTGGGAGTAGAGAAATGTATTTGTGAATTGGTCTCCCTTCCTCTTGATGGAGAAACCTATTTATAGGCTTTGGGAGTGAATCACCACCATTCATTTTTTTGGTGAAGTAAGTGGATGATGTAGGTGAAGTGAATGGAGGTTGTAGGTGAAGTGAGTGGAGGTTTGTAGGTGAAGTAAGTGGATGTTGTAGGTGAAGTAAGTGGATAATGTAGGTGAAATGAGTGGAAGTTGTAGGTAAAGTAAATGGATGATGTAGGTGAAATGAGTGGAGGTTGTTGGTGAAGTGAGGGAATGATATAGGTGAAATAAGTGTTGTAATTTTAATACATTGGTTAACATTTACTTCACTGAAATTTCGATGTCTACATAATTATCTAGCTATTGTTTGTCGAAAAAGAAAAGAAAAGTAAAAGATTTAACAATACTTCTGTTTTGTTCTTTATTTTTGGTCTTACATCTTTTCTTTTCTGATGAAGTTAACCAAAATAATTCTGAAAATATATTACAACTTAATATTCGGGGCAGATGCTGAAGAAAGACAAAAGGAACAATAATCAAGAGTAAATGGGAATGAGACTAATCAGTCCCTGGCCGTTAACCACACGCCGTTGGCACTAATTAACCATACACCTAAAAACAATTTAACGTTTGAGTTCTTGGTCAAATGATATCTTCTGCAGTATTATGTGCATTGCTTCCTCCAGGATGCAGGATGCAACAATTCTAGGATCCATTTTGTTTTTTGTTTTTTGTTTTTCTGTGTGGAAGAGCTTAATTATTTTGTTTATTTGTACAAGTGATATTGGACGAAAAAATAATTAAACATAAGAGTATAATTATTTCTTACTACTGAAATACAAGTCATTTGCATATTGATACACAACTTGTTCTGCCATCCCTAATTCTCTAGGTAGGTGATTCTCACAGGTAACACATTAATTAGGAGATGATGAATTTGGATTTTATATATATACTTTAAACAATTTTTCTTTTTCAACAATTATGGGTTATGAAATCGAACTCGAACTTCTTTTAGCAAGTGAAAATTGAGAGCAAGGATTTGAGTTTTAAGATTTAAGAATAACAACAACAACAAAATTTTTTTCACTACGTATGGTCGTTTGTATGAATTATGGAATGCCACTACGTTCGGTTTTGTGCTATGTTTTCCGTTGGCTCCAAGTACTCCATGTCTCTTCTTAGAGTCATTTTCCAAGTCTTCATAGGTCTCCCTCTACTCTTATGCCCTGAACCTCTGTCTCATCCTCACATAGATCTGTAGGTCTTCTATTCACATGTCTAAACTACCTTAACCGATTTTCTCTCATCTCATCTTCAATTGGGGCTACGCCTATTTTACCTCAGAGATTCTTGTTCCTAATCGTGTCCTTTCTCGTGTGCGCATACATCCACCGAAGCATTCTCATCTCCGCTACACTCATTTTGTGCTCGTGTTGATGTATGACTGCCCAACATTCCGTGCCACAAAGCAGTGTTGGCCTTATTGCTATCCTAGAAAATTTCCCCTTGGGTTTTAGTGGCATACAACAGTCACACAACACACCTGAAGTACTCTTCCACTTCATCCATCCAGCTTGTATTCTATGGTTAAAATCTCCATCTAATTCTCTGTTTTCTTGCAAGATAGATCTGAGATAGTAAAAGCGTTCACTCTTAGGTCTGATCTCCAATCCTCACTCTTAATTCATTTGAACCCCTGCTTCACTGAACTTGCACTTCATATACTCTGTCTTTGACTTATTTAGGCTCCAACGCTTCCCACCAAAGATTAAGCTTTGCATTTACCCCCTCTTAAGTTTCATCTATCAACACTATATTATCTGTGAAAAGCATGCACCAAAGGATGTCATCTCGGATATGTCCCATGAGCTCATCCATTATGAATGTAAAAATGTACAAGTTTAAAGCTGAGCTTTGGTGTAACCCTAAGGTTTTGGGAAGCTTTTGGTTTGTCCTTTATGTGTTTTTACTGTGGCCCTTACTCCATCATACATATCCTTTATTGCTTGGGAAAAAAAAAATTCATACATACCATTATTTGTAAACCTGTAAAAATACAAGAATATGAGTTTTGCATTAGTGAAAATAAACTCGTTGTGCATGATCATTAAACACGAAAATTTTACGGTGCTTCAAGTATTCTGTATTTTTGAAAATTTAACTGTTATCTCTTGGTTAATGTATATTTAATTAATTAACTATGAATCTCTATGAATCTAAACGTTAAAAACCTAAAAATAATTCGTCGCCAATTCACACATTTTTTTTTACTTATGGTTGAAATCATTCATTTTATAAAACACTCTTTAAAGATAATCATTCTCAACATGATTTGAATACCTTTATTAAATTTTTTTTTTTTTTAACAAATGATAGTATTTATACTAAGGGGGTGGGGGAATGAGCTAAGGTTTGCACTGGGTAGCCATAAGAATGTGGTTCAAATTTGTCTTTGACTAGAATTGAACTTAAAACCTCTGACTTACAAGTGAAAATGAATACTACTAGACCGTAATACTAAATTACAATTATAAATTATACCCCATTATAAGCAGAAAGTTCAATAAATAGGTGATAAACTGTATTTGTATAGGAATTCTTCCACAATAATGTGGAGCCAAATATATCTGGATCTAGAAGTATAATCGCTGTTCAAAAACAACAAAGAGTCGTTAGTGTTTGCTTGATCTTTTAGTTATTGATAAATGTGAATCTCGCATGCTTTGAGGATTAAGAATCATCCAGGCACGTGTCGGGAAACATCAGAAAGCAAATGAGGAGGAGGGGTAGGATTTTATGCTGGTGTGACAATATTGCCCTCGGGAAGGGAAACAGTGAATGGTGGACGTGGGCGGTTGGCATGGCAAAGAAGGGAAAAGCACCAGAGGTAGGGAGCTTGTCTCCCTCGATGGCGCAGTCCCTTTCAGCCACTCACCCCAATTTCCAAGTAGACATCCGTCCAGAGTAGCTGACCCTACTATCATTGCAATCTGAAGGCAGGGATACGGCAGGTTTCATACTCAAACCCTTACCGATATCAATCAATGGCTATAAACCCATCACAAGTTCAGTGATTCAACTAGTGGAAATCAACTTCAGTAAAAATGCTTCACTGGGATAGCTCTGAGGTGAAACCAGGGTGAAATTAATTAACACCTATTTACAAGAATATTATGTTTTTGTGAGCGTGACTAACCAGTTATATGTGATCATAAACTGCCTTATCGTAGTTTTTTATTAAGAAGTGCTAACGTTTAAACACATATTACCCTACTTAATTTCAACGGATGCATTGTCAAACCATGGTGCTATGGGGTCAGGATTTTCTTGGTGGGATTCAGCTCCCAATTTAATATCGTGATTGGTTGGCTATATGCTCATTTACCGTTTTTTATAGTCATTTCAGGTCTTTCTTGTATTCTTTTAGCTACTAAGCTAGGTTTGGTTTCATGTCTTCCTTGCTTTCGGCTTTTGTGTTTTGGTGTTTGCTATCTCATTTTATTTCCTGCTCCTCTTCTTTCATCACCCTTACTATTGTCGTTTCTTAAAAAGAAAAAAGAGAGAGACTTATACAGTGACATTAATCTCTTCACAATCCACTAGAATGTTTTTCAATATAGCTGATAATTATCATAGGTGCTACCAATTCATATCATGCATTTAGACTTTTTCTCTTTTTTATGCAAGTAGGAGAATGAGAATTAAGCTTAAAACCTCGTTTTTAAAGATAAATATGTTTAATTATTTGAGTTATAAATTCTTATGATCAATGAATCCAAATTAAGTTCATAATATAAAAAATCAACAACAAAATGATAATATTATGTAACGGTGTAATTGACGCAATCATAAAACTCTCGCCTCACCCATGTGTTGTAAAGACTAAAGAACACTACACGTTACCCTCAAACAATCTCAGCCAACCAGTTGTACATCTCAACACACCACACACATAGAGAATACTAATCAGGGGTCGTCTCAGTCTCTTGGTTAATCTTTAGGTTTAGTCTCAGACTTCGTTTTTCTTTTTCCCGAAAAAGCTTTATTTGTCTTCCCAAAAAACCAATCAACACATATCCCTGTCTCTTCCTCTCCTCCCACCTCAAAGCTTCAAAAGAGTACTCTCTCTGTCTCTCTCTCAAACATCAAGTCATGAGGACTTTCCTTATTTGGCCGTTCCGGGGTTCGCCTCCCGCACTGTGGATTCACTCAGGCTCCTTCTCTGGCTACGTGTTACCGACAACTGTACGTCCCTTTCTGCATGATAGAGAGAGAAAAAGAGAAAGGCAAGGAGGAGATAAGATCATAAATATGAGAGTCAATGAAGAGAGAGACATACAGAAACACAGAGACACACAGAGAGAGAAAGAAAGGGTAGCAGATAGCAGCAGTAGTAGTAGCAGTACAGCTTCTTTTCGTATTGGGGTTTGTGGTGGTTGTTTTCATTTTTTCTTCTCTTTTATTTACTTTTTGTCATTGAACAAAACCCTAAATTTCCTTCGCACCAAAAGATTATTATTCGTTGATTATTCCGGCATTTTGGTATCTTTCCTTATTTGGGCTTTTCTTCTCTCCTTCTGGGTTCTCAGATCTGACTCATTTGTACCGATCTTTTTATTTATCTCTCTCTTTCAAGTTCTACTTTCTTCCCAATCTTTTTTTTCTTATTAATTATCAAAAATTCAGTATTGGGTAGTTATATATTCTTGTGTTTAGAAATTTAATCTGGTTGGGACTTAGGGTAGAAATTGACAGAAGAGAGTGAGCACACAGAGGCACTTGCCATAAAGCGTATGCCATTGCTTTTGCGTGCTCATGTCTCTTTCTGTCAGCTTCCCCATTTCCACTGCCGGATTAATATTAATTTTTTCATTTCTTCCTTCACACCCCCTCCCTTCTTCTCGTCTCTCTCTTTAATTTGTTTCACCAGTTCTCTTCTCTCTCTCAAAATGTTTTATTTATGGTGCTTAATTAACTGCTCAAGGGGGATTCAAACTTCAAAGAAACTGAACCCCTAAGCCTGGCCTAGCTAAGAGAGCATGCTCCTGTTACTCCTTTGAAATCGGTAAGTGATTATATGCATATTGTATCAATTGTTTTTATGTTATCTAAGCAGCTGAAACTATTACCTTGAGAGCGTTACTTTTGATATTGTTTTATATATGAGAAGGTACATATACCTGTTTACTGTGCGAAATTAGCGGCAAAAACCAGGTTATCAAGCATATAGCATATCATGGGACCATTATTCTCGCTCTATCTCTATAGTATGGTCCTCCCTTTCCTTCCCTCCCTTCCTCACTCATCATCTTGAAACCCTGATCTAGTCCGAGAATTGGTAATTTTGATCCTTTTTTAATTCTTACGCATGCGATGCTAACTTGAAAACTGGTTCTTTTTGGACCTTTCTTGTATTTTGTTTAATAAATGGGTTTCTGCAGAACCCTATTTAGTAGCCTGAATATGGTTGCTTTGCTTCGTGTTCGTACTACTGGTTACAAATGTTTTTCCTAATAACTAGTTTTTGGTCTAGATTTTGCTTTTAAAATTCTATTGTGAATGCACATATTTCTTATAATTCTATTGTGATTTAATGTGATGATCTAAGATAAAATGAGTATGGTTTTGTTATCTGTTTATCTCTAGTTTTAATTATGCAGGTTAGCCTTATGGATTGATATAACAGTCCATTGTCAAGTTGTAAGTTTTTTCTTCTTTTTTTTTTCTTTTGGGCATGTGTATACAGCTATCTTTCAAGTTTCATCAGATGACAGCTTGTTAAACAGGTTTGAATTTGCTTTCCCAATGATCAAAATCAATTTGGTGGTTCATTTCTTGCACCAAATTTATGTATATATCTCTATATGTGTGATCTATGACATATATTTATTTGGATTTTATTTTCAGAGTTGTTTCTCTAATTAGAGGCCGCTGGTAAGTATTTCTAACCCAAATACCCGATGGCCTTATTAATCTGTATGCATACCACAGTAACATGAATAATTTCGATCTGTGTTTATATCTCGCAGTAAAATTTGTTCCATATCTATGTCCACAAACTGGAAGAGGCTGTTCCCAAACAATAATGACTGGGATACACTGGTAAGTTATTTTAAGCATGGATTAATCTCATTTTAATTTTAGAATTACATGTCATGTATTCCTTATTGCATGAAGTTCACTTTGAGTTTGACGTTGCTACAGAATTTAAGCCTGTTTTAGTGGCTTAACTATGAATGATGCCCAAAATTGTATTAGTTCTTGTATTTAGTGACTAGATAATTGTACCGGTGACACGAATATAAAATGGTAACCATTACTTAGTTAATTTTATGTTAATGTTTGTTGTATATTTGTCATGACGTTTGTTTAGCAAATTGTTTTGTGATTACTTTTTCATGTATTTATAGAATGTAGACTTTGTGGTCATTCTTTTTTATTTTTCTGTCGACGTTCCAGTAAGTTAATATATATTGCATTTGGTTTGCCAAGTATCTAGTATGTTGACTTCGTGTGGCCATATGAACAAAATATTATTTGACAGAATTTCTACGGTTATTACCAAACACCAGCCACATCCCGTTCTTCAGTCCACTTCGTCAATGTTATGAAGGCATGAGTCAACAGATTGATTCCAGCAAATACGCATGGAAATTATATGTCAAAATGGTGTGGATTTAACTAACTTGCATGTGCATGCGAGATGCTGCATGTTAGGCTTTTGATGGAATTTATAAGATTCTCATGTTAGGAGAATGTACGTATAGATCTGCATATTGTTTTTTTTATTACGTTTTGTGGTCCAGATTCACTAAACCGAGCAACATAAGCATTTTTTTGACATTTCTGGCTGGAATAATACCCTTTTGAAGGTAAGAGGGTTTTTACAATGTATACTTAGGTTGTCAATTACAAATTGTTGATCAGTAAAATTCAGAAACTTACCGAGTATGGATATTTCCAATTTTAGGAAGCGGAGGAGATCAGATAATCTCTTCATGGGAAATGATTTATGTACTCCCATTTTCTTCTCTGATTTTTTCAAACGGCTAGGAACAAAGAGAGGAGTGGAGGGGAGAGAATTATAAGGGAGTGTGGAAATCATTTCCCTCTTTTTATCTTGTGATTGGTATGCCAGTTAAAGATGGCTTCAGCCTTATATTTCCAAAGTACAAACAAAATAGAAAAAGTTGTTTGGCTTCGCTTCATATTGGGCTGGTTTGTTGTGTTCTTTGTGCACTAATTGTCTTACTACACCAATCACATGATACTATCATCAAGGTCCAAGCTTGGGGGTTGGAACTTTGTAGTACTGCATGCGCTGGGATTTACAACCTCCATGTACATTGTCTGGGGTGACCACTTCATCTTCTGGGTATGGACTATTCTGTTGAAGCGTTCCATCAGCACTTACTGATTGTGAAAAGCGGCAGTGAAAGCTTGGGGGTCGTTTTTCAGCAACCTCACCAAGTAAACAAAAAGGAAAGCTCCACATACCTAGAAAAGATTAAGAGATTATGCTCATTTCTGATCTATTTTGTTCTATTTGGTTGTTTGTTGTGTGGGTATGAGGTGTTGATGATTATCTATATCTTTTTAAAATTCATTAATTATTGTTAGAAACATTAAAGTATTTCGTGACTAGTGCTTCACTCTTCATAGGGAGCAATTCAACCAGTGCAAATTGGTGGATTTGGAATGAGTAATATATCTGTTAAATAATTGATTTGCACACTATTGAAAATATAGTATGGATATTTCTAATTTGACTACTCAGTTGATGATATTTTGATTGATTTTTCTTGTGCTGAGGTCATTGTTCATTTAGGTGAACTATATGAAAGAATGTGTACTCCATTATGTCCTTGAAATAAGTCTAAGTTGGTCGTTATCATATTCATTTTATACAAAAGTATATAACTTCTATATATGATTTTTCCTGAAGTGCATATTGTGCTAATGTTACTAAATGATTGTGGTTAAAGGATTTTAAAATTATAGCTTGATAAAATTTTAAACCCTTGATAAAAATTTAAACCTAGTCCTTATTGTATGTCAATGCTAAAATCTCTTTTTTATTAATTCCTTACTCGGGAGTTGATGAATTATTGATTGATTGATTGATTAGAAAATGTTAAATATTGTTCATATTTTTTTAAGTCACAATGGTCAATATTTGAACCCATCTATTTTTTAAGTCACATTGTTCCATAGTCATACTAAACACATGGAGATTGATGTGCATTTTGTTCATGAAAGAGTTCGGTGTCAAGATCTTCAAGCTCATCACAATTCTTGCTCTGAACAACTTGCATACATCATGACAAAAATACTGCATTCTCCTCGGTACTTATATCTTCGAAACAGTCTCATGATAGAGAGTCCTAGTATGAGATTGAGGGAGGGCATTAGATAGCCTTATGCCATATCAATATAATATATACTGATGTGGTGTCTGTTTAACTATAGCTGTGTTGGTTTAGACTGTTAAAGTGTAAATACTAAAGGCTTAATTATGTCATTCAGGAAAGTGTACACACACACACACACGCACACACACGCACGCATATAGTCTGCCTTCAGTTGTAGATTTAGTTTTAATGAGAAGAAGCTTTGTTATAAGCCCAAGAATTTCTTTGCTTATTTCTGAATCAATTGGCGAATCTCAGTCCAGATGATATGAATTCGTTTCAAGATCATAACGCCAATCAGTAAGTTTGGTTGTTTTCTTAGGTCAACTATACATCCGGGGAGTTGGCGTGAAATATGCTTATAGCTATATATATGGAAGGGAAGCTTTGGAATCACTTATGAGATTAAGGCCTGCTTCTGGTCTATATATAGTCGTATATAATTCCCCCTGGTAGCTAAGACTGTTTCTTTGATGATTGCTTGTTATTTTGTGTCGGGGTTTTTGCTGAGGTTTTGATCAGGAGCTGATATATACACATATATAATCCAAATTGTTGTGAAAATATTGCAGGATACTATTGATTCATCACCACAATATATAATATATCACATCTGGCTTTGAGTTCATCATCCGCACATGGCGCTTCAGAGCTTAAGCTATTCTCCTCCACAATGAATGGTGGGATATTTCCGCGATAATGGAATCCCCCTTTTTTTTATTCGAGTGGGGGATCTGTATTTGCCACTTTCCGTAGGTTTTGAGAGCGTGGAGTTCGACCAGAAATGCTTTCCCAGATTTTTGGAACCCACCTTCTTCATATGTAGTTCATCCTCTCTGCAATATTCATTATTATTTATTGATAAATGCCTTTTTTACAAGATTTAATGGAAAAGTACTGTATCATATGTTCTTTTATATTTCTGAAGAAATAAATTATGGAGATGGTTTTTCAAATTATTAGAAGCAAGGAAAAGTATAGTATGTAGAAATTTGCCTTTGCTGAGTATATGGCTACTACTTATTTTCTCCTCTTCGAAAACGGTTCTCTTCACTTCTTCCTTCGTCCGAATATCAGTATTCAAACTGCCGGTGCAGGGCTTCAGGTTTAAGAATTAAGATTAATTCAGGAACTCCGTTTGAGATTGTTTCGCTCCGACCAGCTGGTTTACGTATGCTATTCAATGGACGTTATTGATTATATTGGGGTGGGAAAATATCAAAATTCCTGTCCTTTCTCCAAAATTATGAGCTTAATTATGTGTTATGTCCTTCTGCTTGTACTGATCAATCGATCGACTTTATGCACAAGTACTGCATCTATCGCTGTTGTTGGGTTTTATTTTTGGTCAGAAAAAGTGACATTTCATGGTCCCAAAAGAACTGTTCCTTGAGTGCATATTTTACTATGCCCAAGTACCGTCCTTTTACTGTTATTCACAGTTAGAAATTCGAGTTCAAGTTTTACCCTAGGAAGGTATTAGTATTAGATCAATTATTCATCTACTTCTCACGGAGAATTAAAGTATTTTACTAAAAATTATATGTAAAACGTTTGTATGTGGTCTAATATTTTAATGAACAAGCATTGAGTTTTCCACATGTGTAACCCATGATTGAAACTCCCCCTCCTCGAAATTATAGCAATAGTTTAAAACTCTCCTCCTCCTCTCTCAATTAGCAATAATCTTTCACCCATTAGCAAGTCAATTGGGGTTTCTTCCTTACACTATTGAGTTTGAAGTATTTTACTTTACAATTTAATATTATTAAGGACATACATGTGAAAAGTTCGACGAGTGTCCAAATAGCTACATGTGAAAAGTTCAACGAACGTCAAAAATTAGCTACATATAGTACAATTATCAGCACAACGGCTATAGCTTTAGGCCTTGTTTGGTGGGTTGAATGGGATAGGTTGTGATTAATTAAAATTGAGTTGAGTCTAATTCATTGTTTGCTGTGTCAAAATGTGAGATGGACTGGACATGATGGATTATGAATTCGAAATAGAGTGAGTTATCCAACTTATCCTTATAAATGGGTTACAAGTTTATGCCAATTCAATCATATCCATAAGGTTCAATGTCATCCAGTCCACCAAACTTTAATGTGATGGATTAGTGCTAGTCGTTCACGTTAATACAACAATATATTAAAAATAACGTATGATAACAATTGATATGGTGTAGTCAGGATGGCCGAGTGGTCTAAGGCGCCAGACTCAAGTTCTGGTCCTCTAACGAGGGCGTGGGTTCAAATCCCACTTCTGACATTTCTTTTCACATTTTTTTCCCTTTTTCTCATATTTTCCTTTATTTTTACGATAACGAGTCTTCATGTTTAATTATTCGGCAAAATGATGAATGGAAAATCATACCATATATCGGACTCAATTTTTCTTTCCTTGTGTGTTACTAAACGTAAAAAATGTGAGTGATACTCATACGTTGCACTTCCATTTTTGTTAAATAAACGTATCCTTCTCTTATTCTCTCTCTTGCGGAAAAAAGAATTTGATCGTAATCTCACAATCCCATTCAAATTTCAAAATATCTTGTTTGGCTTGAGGTTGGGAGATTCTGAATTACCATGAACATTCTGACTGCTGGGTTAAAAACACAAATAGAAATTGTTTCTTGTACAACAAAGAACCGTTGAAGCCATGAAAACCCTACTTAAGAGACCTGATAAGAGTGCGACGTCAAGGGTTTTCTGTCATCATTTACTCCAGAATTTCTCCCCTGAGCGTGGCGCGCTGCGCATGGGTTGCGCATGCGGGTTTAACGCTCATCACATCTGTTCATCTTAGGGCCTTCGAAGTGGAAGGCCAGGATTTGATTTCCAAGATACCATGCACACTTGAGCACGTGTGTTGTTCGCAGCAGAGAAAAGCTCCATATACTCGGAGCCATTTGTCCGGAAGGGATTGAACAAAACTGAACTTTATGCAAAATGTATCCAGGGACAATAAAGGACACCATTTAACTGTTACAAAATCTGTCATTGTGTCATGACAAGCAAGGTGCCTTACCGAATGTGGCACAGAGGAGCGTTGGACGGGCAGGTCACAAGACCGAAGAGGGAGGAGAAAGGCCGACGTCTTGTACAGCAAGCTACAATACCTTTCCTCGAGTTAGATCAAGCCTAAAGGGAGTGATTTATACAGTTTTTGAGAGAACCCCGGAAGCAAATAGAAGGTTTCTTCGAGAAAACTGCATCATAAACATTAAATGAATTATCAACTCTTCATAATTATTGAGTAGAGATAAGTTACTGTTATTTACAATTTGTACATTTACCCGTAACGAATGGACAGGAGTAGACTTCGTCGGCAAAGTCTTCAATTATCTCAATCTGCTGGTATTTCCGCTTTTGCTGATCAAAACCATAATGTTAGTGAAATCACTTTGTTTACAGAAACGCATAAGAAAGAGAGAGGAACTGAGGAACTCACTTTTCTTCAGTTCTTGGCAACTTTGTACTTGCAGTTACGTCCCATAGTTTTACAGTGCAATCGGCAGATCCAGAAGCAAGAAGCGAACCGTCCCCACTGACATATCATAAATCATACTAAGACAGTTTTCTACACACGGAATATTATGGTATGAGAAAGAAAAGATGATCCACCTGAAATCAAGTGTCCATACACATGAGGTGTGACCCGTCAAAAATGTAACGCAGCGGCCACTTGAAAGGTCCCACATCATGATTGCTCCATCTTCATCACCAGAAGCCATGTAATGGCCGTCAGGTGACATTGCCAGAGACAAAACCATACTCCTGTGACCAATAAATATTCGGACACACTCTCCAGTCTGTACATCCCACAATCGAACTGTTTTGTCACTCGAACCAGTGGCAATGTAGTTGCAGTTGACATGCCATTGCACACACTAAAAAAAAATGCAACACATCAGAATTTTTGTTGGATGGATTATGGCACAAGGCAGTAATTCAATAAAAAACTGAACGCTTCAGTTTTACAAAATACAGATGCGGACATAAAGTGAGAGTTACTGACATCAACATCAGATAAGTGTCCGGCCATTAACCTCAAAGGCTGCATTCTGTCCATAGACCATATCCTTGCTGTTCGATCATGGGAAGCACTGGCAAAATAATGACCTACAGGGCTAAACTGCATAAGAAGAACACCTATACCATTAGCGTAGAATTAAAAGAGGTATTGAAGTGGAGACAGAAGTAAGAAAATACATCCCATGTGACCAGAAATCAAGATTTAAAATCTGTTGCTAGAAAATGTGAGCGGACTGTGGTTATGTCAAGTTCGACCAGATATACCCGAACATCCCATACTGGGTAATTATGACCCTTGTAGCAAACAAGATTTGCATTTAGTTTTGTGCTCCACAACCGAACTGCACCATAGCGAGGGAGTTTCTTACCAACTAGTTTATTGGTACAAGAGAGGGGAAGGATGGGGGAGAGAGAGATATAGAACAGCTAAGGACAACATACCAGTTGAGTCTGCTGAAGAGGAAAGTATAAAATCCCCAAGGGGATTGAAAGTAGCTGAATAAACTGGCCCTGAATGACCCTGAAACAAAGTATATGGTTTTTCCCACCATTTGACAGAACTTGTTCACTTGAAGTGGTGGTACCATTCTCAACCTGCAAAGCTGCTGCACAAGCATAGTTCAATATACTTGCACATTTGCATATTTCAAGAACAGGTAAAAAAAATCGTCACACAAAAACTGAAATTTGGAACTTACAATCAAGGCTTTGTTGCCCAATCTTTGCCATATCCCATACCTGTCAAAGAATGCTTCAACATTAGCTCACACTTGAAGAGCAATATGCACAAGAAGAAAGTAATAAGATAAGATGAAACCTTCAGCGACGAGTCTGAAAATCTACCAGCAACCATGGATCCATCATGGGATATAGACGAACAGTTTATCCTGGAAAATTGTTGAACAAAAAGATGAGTAATGGAGTAGAAAATGGAACCCAGTGTTGGTCAGAGACAAAGAGAGTTAAGGGAATTACCCATTGTGCGTGCTGATGAATGTATAAAAGCTGACAGATGGCAGCGCAGCACTACTCAATTGCACACGGTTTCACAAGTCTTCAAGAATAGACTGTTCAACCTCTGTGGGACTGAAGGAATCAACAAAAGATTAGTAAGCAACCTGCATTTGATCTTAAGCATGGACTAACAACTTCCTATACCAAGACGCTGAACAAACATGCAGCGAAGGCTTCACTTAACAAAATATTATCCAATGAGCCCACGCTGAAAATTACTCTCTGTCAATCAACACCTCACATACTGGTAGCTGACAAATCAACTTCCTTTTGATATATGTAGTAGCTTTGCATGGAACTGAAAATACTCATAAAACTCAAGCTATGTACATTGATCCCAACTTTACTGACTTCTAGTTTAACAAGACTCATTTAAACAAATTGGAACCAATATTATATTTCATCTAAACGTACAGTTCTACCATTACCTACATCCAAAGTCAAAAGAAAAGGAGGAGAAGGGAGGGGGTTGGATTCCAGAAACTACATTACTGGCAAAGTAAGCTCTGGTTTGACTCTTGGTACTGCAGTTACAGGGGTTGCCTCAGGGCGTGCGCTTTTCGCTGCACCAGCAGCCTTGTCCTTTTTCAACTTTTTGTTCGAAGCCCCCTGTTTAGCTCCTTCACTTAATTTTTTCTGAACAAAAAACAGATTGACAAAAGTCAATGATATACCAGCCAATAGTTACAAGCACATTACTTCAAAAAATTGTACTCTGAAGCTGTGAAGTTGTTACAGGATTTCAAAGTATATTTGCACCTTATTCTCATTCCTGTCCCCTTCTTTGCTTTCTCCTTCTGCCTTTTCAGAGTCTAAGGCCTCAGCCTTGTCCAAGCGTTCTTCCAAGGAATCTTCGAGCAACTGCAACAAAATATATGATTGCACAGAAATTCAGGAAACTGCAAATGAGTCAGCATGTTTTATGCACGTTTGGTCAAAAAACTTACCAGTTATTTCAATAAACATATTTTAAGTGATTATTAAAATATAAAGCAGCAGCTTTGGGTAACATGTTAATCGAAAATGCAAAAGCAAAAGAAACTTTACCTTTCTAATAGCAGGCAGATACTTTCAATATGCAACAAAATGAGTACTATTAAAAATTCTTGAAAAATCTTCATGCAGCTTCTAAAAGAAGTTTATTCATTTTCATCAGAGAAATTCAAATACGCACAAGAACCAGTTTGACATACACACTATATAGTCAGCATTCTTGACTCACCCCCCAATGTATTTCCTTCTGGTTTATCTGATTGGCTGAATCCAGGCTACTTCCGGTAAGTGTTACAGCCTCAGCATCATCAAAAATTGAGCTGGGTTGTCCAGGAGAAACTACAAAACCAATTAAAACATTAGATATGAACATATTGTTATGTAGCATATCACACCTTCAACCAGACATCAAACCAATATACCTTGGAAGTTAATATGCTCATTGATAATCCCAAGCACTGTGGCAGACTGCGACTTGTGTAGAAACTGCAGCAGAAGCTCATACGAGTACTGGAAAGATAATTGACCCAAAAATATGCTGTTCAACTATTTATATATATGGTTATATACACAGCCTACAAAAACAACTAAAAGAAGAACCAGAATATTACCTGGCATATCTTTATGTTGACTTTTCTCTGCCTAAGAGAATGAGCGAATTCCATCTCCTGAGTAACAACAGAAACATGAGAAACTTTCTTAAGGTGCTGATGTAATCATAAATCTAAAATGCAATACTGAGAATGTTCCAGAAGTTAACACCTCCAAATGAGAGGGAGAAAGAACGCCTTCCAACTTCTGTAGATCTCGTTGGTGCATCATTTCGTGGTTTTCACGGAAGCTGTTGAAAAATGTCCGAGCTGGTAATATGAACAAAGGACAGGTGTTCACTCATTGAACAGTAATTACACCAGAAGTTTAAGCCTCAAGAGAGTAAGAAATCAACGACAATCACATAAATCTAACAAGACATGACAAGAAGTAAGAGATATACCTTCTTGAATATGACCTTTAGCAACCAGATCCATGAAACAATGAATAAATACTGGATAGAGAACACGAAGCAACTCATGCTGCATAAATAAGGTTGTTTTAAGTATGCGGAAAATATAAAACATTAAAATATAAGAAGTAAAATCCATAGACAAATTAACACATAAAGGTAAGTTACCCTGTACAAATCTAGTGAACTGTAAGTCCACGACCTCAACTTGGCATATGCATCTTGGTACTGTGCTGGACCTTCCTCATATCTGTAAAACAAATAATGCCAACTAAATAATTAAAAGAAACCTCAAACCAAAAACACTAGAATGAACAAACAGAAACATAAGCATTTACATGTCCACGTAAATCGAATGCTCCTATTTCAGCTTTTCCCATCGTCTTAGAAACACTGACATTGAAGCCGTGTGCTTAATCAATCATATAATGATCCGACTTCCAAACTCTAATTTTCTTTTTTGTATAATTCCCATACAGTTAATCATTGAACCCAATATACCTAATTTTTCATAATAGCCGGAATCCTTAGTAGTGAACTCTTCTCGGTGATGCCTTTATCCTACTGGGATTAGTTCTCAGCTCTACAACAATCTCAATTCTAGTCATGCCTAAAGTCCGAACTTCACCCCACTAAAACACCAATCGAAATTCCACCGTACGGTTTCCATACAGAAATTAGTGGACTTAAGGCACCCAAATTTTCACAAAATCCGGAGACCTTCGTGCTGAACTCATGTCGGCAATGCTTTAAACCTACTGGAAACTAGTACTTCGCTCTCTGAAATTCCCAATTCTATTAATGCCAAAGTCCGAAATTTGCCCCACTAAAACACCAATCAAAATTCCACTGAGTAATACTAAAACCTCAGCTTCTAAGTTCAAATAAAAACTACAGCTAAACCCCGCATGTATCACGTATAACCATTATAACCCAAAAATCAACAACAAATATCAAATGGAAGTGCGAGAAGAACGAGAGAGATAGTACTGAGAGAATGATAGGATGTGCTTGGAGACGTCGGGGTCCAATTTGGAATTGAAAGAGATCGGGGACGAAGAGCTGTTGTTATTCTTGTTTAGTTCGTCTTGAAAAGCGTTCTCCGTCTGCTTGAAGCCTTTCTTCGTCAAGTAAGCCGCCACGAACTTCCGCACGCTCTCCTCGTCCACCGCCTCGGCCATCTCCGCCACCGCTTTTTGCAGTCGCTGTTTCTCTCTGTTCGAAACTGTGAACGGAATACCCCTCAGCGATTCAGTCCCTCTTGTCTCGTCCTGGCCTTCAAATTCCCGGTCTTTGTAATCGTTGGGTCAGGGGACCCACAAACTTGGAATCAACTATCCGAAGTCGTTCGGAATTTTGGGCTCCAAACGTACTTGTTATTTTTAAGAGTAAATTGTAGCAATGATCCTTCGATTCTAATCAAATTGGAGTAATGATCTCTCAATTAAAAATTCATTACTATTGGTCCCTTAACTTATCAAAATGTGTAGCTATAGGCTTTTTTCATCAATTTCGTCAAAATTTTGTCAAAATAAGTTATGTTAGAATGATCATTTATACAAGTAGGTTCTCTCAACTCATCAAAGTGTGTAATTATGGTCATTTTCGTCAGCTACATCAAAATTTTTGTCAAAACGAGTTATGTTGGAAGGGTCATTGCTACGATTGGGTTAAAGTTAATGGACCATTTCTCCAGTTGAATTAAAGTTGAGGGACCAATAGTAATAAATTTTTAGTTGAGAAACCATAGCTGCTTGTTTTGATGAGTTGAGGGACCAATGGTAATGAGATTTTGGTTGAATAGACCATTGTTCCAATTGAGTTAAAATTAAGGGACCATAGCTATAATTTACTCTATTTTCAATTAGTTGGCCCAAACTTGGAACTGTTTTTTATACTAAATTGGTTTGGGCCTTGTTTTTGTGAATTAGGATTGTGACACATTGACGAATGAGAACTAGAGTTTTTAGTACCTTTGCAAGTGGTGGAGTGTCAAAGTAAATTTTTGTATTCAACTAATTGTGTCTTAAATTGTGTTTTGGGTTTAAACCCTCATTCTTAGATAATTAGAGTAGATCATACTATGGTTTGTCAAAAAGTAAAGTGAGTCGTCATTTCATGTACAAGACAGTATCATTTCCTCCTAAACATTTAGACACCAAGTTCCCCTTATCTAGATAAGCAACAGTTAGATTTGAACATCGCTAGACAATTTCGTTTCTATCAAAATTCCACCACTTGTCGCTCACTCTGCCATGAGAACAAAGAGACGCACAATATCTCATTGTAGCTTTGTTTGCCACCCTTTGGTAAGATGATGAAAAACATAGGCTCTTTTGGTAGGTTGGATGAGATATGTTATGGATCTTTAAATGGACTTGAGTCCAAGATCATTCTTTGATACGTTTAAAGAGCATCACAATTTAGATTTTTATTTTGGATCCAAATCTAGAATAACACAGGATTCTTAACCCGTTAGGCCATCTCCAACCGAAGGGTCCAGAGGGCTAGAGGGCCGAATATAGCCCGAAAACCGTCTCCAACCGAGGACTAAGCCAAAGGGCTCTAGAATCAGAGAGCTGACTTCAGCTAACCGTTGTATTTAAATTTTTTTTTTTATAGTTTTATTATTATTTTTTATTTACAAAATTTTTCCTATAACTTCTATTTTTATTTTTTTTTTTAAATTCTATTTTTTCCTATAACTTTTATTTTACAAAATTTGTTTCATTTTTTTTTTTAAATTCCATTTTTTCCTATAACTTCTAGTTCACATAGTTGCTTTATTTTTTTTTAAATTCTATTTTTATCCTATAACTTCTATTTCACAAAATTTGTTTCATATTTTTTTTAAATTATATTTTTTTTTCTATAACTTCCTAAGCCATTATACAACATTGAATTAAATTAAGTAACATGAAACAACATTAAACAATATGAAATAACATTAACCAACATACAAATTATACAACATAAAAAAAAACATTTAACAACATGAAACTTAAACAACATTTTAAAAAATATTTAATAACATGAAACTTAAACGCTTACTCCATGCTTCTTTTGGCCCAAAGATGTGCAACAAGATCATGTTGTAGGCACTTGTTTGTGGCACGAGAACATATCATTCTATAGCCTCATGTACTTATTTATAGAGATACTACCAGTTCTTAGATTGAAAGGCAAATTAGGCCCATCATATATTTTTGCACGAGCCCTTCTTGACCTATTTAGATCTTCTTGGTCGTCATCGGACTCTCAATCAATATACTCATCTCGCTTATCCTCCACTATCATATTGTGTAATATGATGCAAGACATTATGATGGAGTCCAAGTTTTCTCGACTCCACCCTCTTGCCGATTCGCTAATAATCTTCCACCGTGCTTGTAGAATACCGAAAGCTCTCTCAGCATATTTCCGGTATGCCTCTTGGTGTAAGGTAAACAACTTTTCTGCGTCATTCATAGGGTTTGGAAATGCTTGGACAAGTGTCGCCCATTTTGGGTAGATGTCATCTGCCAAGTAATACCCCATATTATATTGACGGTTGTTGATATAGTAGTAAAGTTGAGGTGCTTTACCTTCCGTCAAGTTATTGAAGAGGGGTGAACGCCCAAGAACTGTAATGTCATTTTGGGATCCAGGGACTCTAAAGAAAGCATGTCAAATCCATGTGTTATATGAGGCAACCACCTCTAACACAACAGTTGGCTTTCTTTACCTTCCGCTAAAGCCTCATTGCTATCCGGTGGGACAGTTCTTCCAATCCCAATGCATGCAGTCTAATAACCCTGTCATGCCCGGAAACCTACGGTCTTCAGTTTTGCGAATGAGCCGATTCAAATCTTCTTGATTTGGCTCGCAGAGGTACTCGTCTTTGTGAACCTGAACAATTGTGTCACATAATTGTTGAAAAGTATCAAGGCATGTAGACTCAGACATACTATGGGTTTCATCCATTGAATCAGCTGGGGAGCCATAGGCCATCATTCGAAGTGCAACAGTAACCTTCTGATGAGGTGAGAAACCAGGGTAGCCTGCTCTGTCCATCTTCTGTCGAAAGTATGGATTGACTTGCTGGACATCACGAAGTAAATGCTCGAATACATGACGCCTCATCTAGAAACAACGTCTGAAATCCTCTTCTGTGTACACCGAGTTGGGGTTAAAGTAGTTGTTCATCAGATTGGCATGCGACATCGCTCTGTTTCGTCGTTTGTAAGAGCGACCAGTAATAGAGCCACCCTATTGAGGTTGTTCTTCAGTTGGCTGACACACTATGGCCGCAGCCATGGCTGCTGCCATGTTTTGTTTGTTGCGCCTTACTTGTACTTCTTCATCACACTCCTCATCTTCTTATCTCATTTGCGCCCATTTTACTTCCAATTTGGAATTGGATGAGGACCCCCAGTTGGAATCCGAAAATGATCCAAAGTTGGAATTCATTGCAAACTTGAATTGAAATAGATTGAATTCAAAGTTGTGTGAATTATAGTCCAATATCCACCCTATTTATAACAAAAGAAAAATTCAAATCCAACGGCTAGCTGACGTCAACATGATGTCAGCTACCAACAGCTAGCTGACATCACTTAGCCGTTGGATTTGAATTTAAGTTGTAGTTATTAAATAATAAATTATGTTTAGCCGTATGACCCTTTGGCCCTCGGTTGGAGACGGTTTTTTGTGGCAGGGCTAAAATGAGCCCTCTGGCCCTCAGTTGGAGACTGAGGCAAATATGGCCCTATAATGTTCATTAAAATATTAAATCTTGAAGAATCTTGGAGGGCCAAAGGGATAAAACGAACCATCTGGCCAGCCATCGGTTGGAGATGGCCTCGGTGGACATGGGTTACGAATCCTTAATGCTTCCTCATTTTCCATTTACCATTTTCCTCTCATCTCTATGTCGTCATCGTCATCTCTTTCTCTATGGGTCGTACAACTATAGGAATGGGTCACGAGCGCCATTGTCAGGTTTTCAAGAGCACCATCGTTGGATTTGGCGTCGTCGCAAGCAGCGACATTGTCAAGTCCGTCATGTGCACCATCCTGGGCAGGTGAAAGGGCGTTGTGAATGGTGGTGAATGGGTGGATCACACCTTTCTTTTTCCGTTACGCCAATTTAGTTTTGAATCTAATATAATCTTATTGAGCAAGTCTACACCAAATAGTGAACACAAAACCCAACATATTATCTATACTAAAAAGAATTGTTATTAAAATTTCAAAAATCTTATTTGGCACTCCAAACTTTCTTTAATTAGAAAAAAAAATACATTTGTGAGGAGTGTAGAATGAGATTTTTGGAGTTCTAATAATAATTTCTTACTCTAAAACCCAGTAAACAATTGTTTCACCAACAGTGAAAATACCTAAATGCACTTAATTTCCACTCCATATGCTGTCATTTCCACCCTTGTACAATTAAATTACCCAACTGCCCATAATGTCCACGTGGTGATCATCATGGATGGGTCTACTTCGAGTACAAAACTAATCTAGTCGATCAATAAATACAAAAATTCAATCATATCCTCTTCACCAAATGTGCCCTAAAGTCGCCTTCGCCCACAAGCTGTGCAGTGTGTGTTAGGGTTGTCATTGGGTTAAGTTTGTGTATGTGTGTATAATTTCTCGTGAGTGAGGACGTAATCAATAATTGGACACTCTACACAGTTGAATTTTCTCAAGCTGGAAGGGGCCAACACAGTCTACATACATGCATCGGTGTCGTTTAATAATCTGATTACATTATTATTGAGAATTTTTATTAGCATTTTAAAATTCTCATTTAACATTTGAAATTTTTTATTTTTAGAAAGAAAAATACACTTGTGAGGAATGTCAAATGAAATTTTTGAAGTGCCAATAATAGATCTCTTATTATTTATATACAATATCCATTAAACATTAAACATTCCTTCACGAGAATAAATTGTTGCACATACGCAATTAATGGTTTCAAAAGTCATGTTCAATTTCTTAAGTCCAATTATTTGAAGACTAATCCTAATTTGAAACATATTATCTCATTAATCTCTCTCTCTCCGCTTGAGCCAACTTCGAAACCGACCTGTTTCTCTTGATTCGACTTGGTTAACATAAGTACAGTGCAAAAGGATTAGACATTTATAACGGACACATATACAGGGACGGGGCTATAAACTTTTTTTAATGGGGCACCGAAAACGAGCTAACAAAACTTTTTGTATGACCTATACCCTATATGATAATGGGAATAATTTAAATGATGATATACCACAATTTCAATGTTCAACGGTACAAAAAGTTCAGTGTTGTAATGAAAAATGG